CCCGCAAAAAAACAAACAAACAAACAAACAAACAAAAAACAAACAACACAAACAAAGAGCGCAACTGCGGCAGTCAAAGTAGCACCCACACGTCGCAAACTGTTTGACTCATGTCTTCATACTTATCCTGTCTTGCTTCCTGCTCTCTGTCATTCCGATCATTTGACCAGTAGCTGCGGCCAAGCCAATCCCTCTTGCGGCCAGTGTTTGAGGTGACCTCTTCATGGTCAGTGAGACGGCGGACTTACATTGAAATCAACGAACAAATTGATGTACAAAGTAATGTATTAGATCTAAATATGTACTGAACAAAATGATGTTATAGACAGGGTACAAAATAATATACGAATAATAACCAAACTTTTATGAAAATTCAAGTAGGCCTAAAAATAGGTTACAAAGAAAAGGTAGAAAAAAAGGCATTTTTACAATTTAACGTATAAAATAATGTGTATAATAGATAAGTTACATTCATTTTCCAAATTCGGGTTCATTTTTCGTTTTGTTTAGTATATGTTTTACGGTATCGTATACAAATTGATATATCAAATAATGCACAGAATGATGTATAACATGAAATGTATAAATTAATATAAAAAATAATGTGCAAAATGAAGTTCAAACTAACGTACAAGATAATAATATAGATTTTGATATTACAGTACAATACAAAAACATGTTCAAAATAAAACTTTGTCTAAAATAACGTACAAAATAGTGTGCAAAATCGGATACGAAATAAAATGTACAAAATCATGTAATCAGGTAGAAAACAAAATGTACAACACAATTTATAAAATCGAATAAAAAAATGTGCAAATTCAGGCACAAAATCATGTCGTACAAGACAACATGTACAAAATCACGGCGTATTGAAATCTTGAGCATCTACTCCAACACTAGGCGTACGTACGGCACCCTGTGGCGATAGTGGCCATAACTACTGCCATAACCTCGCGGGTGGTTGGCGGGTGCTCTAATGTTGTTTGCTTCTTCTTTCCTATCAAACATCTATCGTCCTGATCTTTTCTGTCCTCCTTTTGTGTGTGTGTATGTGTGTGTGTGTGTGTGTGTGTGTGTGT